TTCAACAATTGCACCCAAAAGCTCAACAATTGCCCCCAGCAGTCAACAAGTCAGGCAACAGTAGTGCAGTGATTCGGCAATAACGACTCAATATATACCCTCAATCGGCAATCAGGCATCTACCCACAAAAGCAAGTGAAATTATCTCAACGACCTAATGGTTCACCACACAGAATTCACTTCCACCCAACGAAATAGTTGAAGTCACTAAGATGAACACGTTAGTCAACCGTCACAGAAAATTCTAACAAGCAAACCAGCTCCTAACAGGGCAAATTAAGCGGCACAAGCTCCTGATTCAATAGGCAATATTAGAAATAACTCAACCAGAATCCCAAAAGAAACCTCAACGAACTTAGTAGTTGAAAGCAATGGTCAGAATATTTCTCAGCAATTCAATTAGATGCACCCAACTGGAGGAAGCAATGTAAATAGCATAGAAACTTCCCAATTTAACAAACAAGTGCAATATTTCAGCTTACCCAAAATTTCAACAAATGGCTCCAGTTGGCCAGTCAAAATCTTAATTCAAAATCAGCAATTTCAATGAAAACGGCTTAGATATTGGACACTACAAACGCAGCCAACCAGATAGAGGTACGAAATTAAGGTCCAGTTACTCCACCAGTACCACAGGTATAGCAAAATAGCACAATAATACGAAGGAAAATAGCACAATTGCTAGCACTGGTGCACCGCACAGTTAAGGCAGAAAACCCAATTGCCACTCCAATCTACTGACAAACCCCCAAGTGAATCCAATACATACCAAAAATTGGGGATTCAGTAGCAAATACCTCTCCCAGTGGCCAAATGAAGAAACTGGGGCGGTAGTGGCTAAGAAAAAGAGGCGCGGCAGTGGAGGAGAGCTGGTGGAGCGCGCGGGGTCGCAGCTGAAGGGAGAGCTGCGGGGTGGCCTGCGCGTGGTTGGTGAGCAGCGGTGGCGCACGAGCTGGTCGTCGCTAGCGGAGGCGCGAGGTAGGTGTTGCCTCTGGTGCTGCTGGCGGTAGCTCGTGGTGGAGGCATTGAGCAGCGGCGGCGTCGACGCTCCTCGTGGCCACGATCGATCGACGGCGAAGAGAAAGCTGGTGAGGGGAGAGCCGCGGCTGGCGTGGGTTGAGGGAGGAGGCGGCGGAGAAGAAAGAAGAAAGAAAAAGAAGAAGAAAGAAAGAAAAGAAAGGAAAAAGAAAAAGAAAAAGAAAATTTTTTTTGTTTTTTTGTTTTTTTTTTAAATTTGGAACTTAAGCTACGGTGATGAGAAAAAGAAAAAAAAAATTTTGTTTTTTGTTTTTGTTTTTTTTTTAAATCAATTTTTTTTTTTTTTTTTTTTTACAAAACTCAACTTTGAAATGCAAAATTAGAAACTGACTAACCGGTTTTGAGTTTTTCTTTTGAATGCTTGCCTTTCCCGCGAACGTGATGTGGCACGTGACAATGGTACGGGATAAGGAGCTCTTCAGGTCGCTTGACGTGGGCACGTCATGAGAGCAAGAGAGCTTTCTGACCATGAACTCTTCATGGGTCATGACGCAGGCGCGTCATGAGGATCGAAACTCTTTCTAACGATTCTGATCGTGAGCTCTCTATACGTCACGACGCGGGCGCGTCATAAGGGCAGGAACCCCTTCTGACGATTCTGACCGTGAGCGCTCCATGCCTCATCACGCGGGCGCGTCATGACAGAAGAACACCTACAAATCAGCAAAAACGAAAATTAAAACCCAAAATCAGTCAAATTCAAGGAAAACATATTTAAGCTATCACACGAAATCAAACAAACAATTAGAAAAAAATAATTGGGTTGCCTCCCAATGAGCGCCTTTTTTTAATGTCTTTGGCTAGACATTATCATGTTTTGTTCATGGAGGATAAAATCTTGTGGCTCGTCTTATTGCTTCATCCTCTATATAGTCCTGATAACCCTCGTAAATAGAGTAATTCTTGGACACACGAGCTACGGGTTTCCATGGACTAGTAAATGGCGCTAAACAAGTCAACAATGATCTGCATTCTCCACTCACTCCTCCCTTACTTGCATTTATTGGTTTAAGATATCTTGCCATCGCCACTCTTAATTTATTCCTGTCATGAAATTCAAAATTTTCTGGTATAATAAAGTCAATTTCATTAACAGGAATTGAAGAATAAGAGTCGGGAGAATATTGATGAAAGAGTAGAGGAGATGTCACCGCATTTGGAGATTATTCACTGGATTCATTCACTTGAATGAGTTGATCCTGGAGTCTCATTTCTTGCACTTCAGCTTCATTTTCAACTACATCTTTAAATCCGTTTTCTTGAAACTCCTGCAATTCCATGTCATTTGACGGGATAACTGTACTCTCATCCTCTTCAAGGTTGATATTGGTTTGTGAGGGCAATTCTTCAAGGTGAGAAGCTAGTCGCGTTATCTTGGATGACAAAAGATGTATTTGATCCGCCATCCCAGATGTCAATAGTTGAACTTGATCCGCCATCGCTTGTGTCTCCTGCTGAATTCGATATGCATTAGCAGCTAGTAATTCCATCATCTCTTCAAGAGACATACCTGACACGGATGATGGTTGTTGAGACTCTTGCTGTTGAAAATTCATCGGCCCAGTCGCATAATTAAAATTGGAATTGTCCCACCATCCTTGATCATACCCGTTTGAATAAGGGTCATACCACGTTTTATATTGAGGTGAGAAATCTCCAAAGGTATCGATTGGGGCACTTAGATTATCTTGAAATGCGGGACATGTGTCGGTTGAATAACCTAAGGCAAAATAAGTTCCACCATTTGCAACAGGCCATTGATCATTAGGAAAAACATGAGTCTCATAATCCCATTTAGGAATAAAGTCCAGTTTATCATCAAAATATGGAATGTTAGCAGCCATAAACTATATAAAAAAATAAGAGAAAAATAAATAAAAAAAATGAAAACAAGATGAACTCAAAAAGAAACAAATAACTAACGCCAGTCCCCGGCAATGGCGCCAAAAATTGACAGGTTGTCGAAGCCTGTGCAATAATAAAAACCTATTCAAACTAAAAATAATTTCTGTAGATAGCGGTGAGCAGGGTCGAATCCACAGGGATTGGGATTAATTATTTCTTTTCAAGTTCACAGTGACAAGGGGGTGTTTTGTGCAGAAGGTGACAATCAAAGAAATTCAACTAAAATCTAAGAAGCTACTAAAAATTAAATAACAAATTACTAAAATCAAATGGGTGATAATTGAGGATCTAGCCAAGAAATAACTTTAGCAATGGTTCACCTAATTGATCATTGATGCAGAGCCAATTCCAATTATTTATCAATAAATAGGTTATAACTACTAAACAATCGATGGCAGTCAACCCCTCCTTACTGTGTCGGTGATTAAGGTACGCCCGTTAATCACTGCTCTAATTGAGAAATAATCCTACGTACGCCCGTAAGATTTAATTTCCCAATTGCCTTACGTATAGGCCTGTCAACGGGTCGGGTCCGGGCCGGAATTAATAAATCCGGACCCGGACCCGTTATACTGCATTACTTCCAGACCCGACCCAAATACCCGACGGGTCTCTTAATATATCTACCAGACCCGCACCCGACGGGTCTCGGATCCGGGTCGGGCCTACCCGGAAAAAGGCCCGAGAAAACCTGTTTTTGATACAACTTAGCGCCTGAAAATGCAGTCTGATTTTTATCACATTTTGCGGACTACGCAAGCCTTTGCGAAATCAGGGAAGTTATTTAATTTGCCGAAGAAGCAGAATCGAACTTTTCTTGCCGAAAATTACAAATGAAAGAGCTATGGTGCTTGTCAGAAACAATACAACCCACATTTGATATTATACAGGAAAACATACAACTCAACCACAACAAAGCTGAAAAAGACAAAGACCTATGACTTGTTTCCAACTAACTTGTATATATTCGTAGAAATAGCTATGGTGCTTGTCACAACAGCTAGAATGACCATTGCTGTTGCTATTATTCTGTCCCTTCTTGTTGAAATGCCGTGGATATCTTTGCCAAAGGGAAAAAAAAAACAAATGGTTCAATTTAACAGCGAAAACACAAACCAAGAAAACAAGGTCAATTTAAGTTAATCTTTTGTTCTTTTCCCCTTACTATCCGCATAAGGTGGGTTCGGCAATACCTTAAAGCAATTATGCCTGGGAAGATGAAGGCAAGGCAGATAGCAAAAGCTCCAATTTTTTCAGCTTGCCAACCGTGAAATTTTCCCTCAACAGCTGGAAGAGTTGGGCTTCTTTGGAGCTACAACTGTCACTCCGTCAGGCATCAGAGATGAAGAGAGCTCGCCAGTTTCACGGCGGACTGGTCACTGGCGGAGGCGGAGGATGTGAGGCGGGACTGGTCACTGGTCAGAAAAGAGGGGAGGATGTGTGGCCGGTAGAAAAGAGGGAAGAATAAGACTGGAAGAGCTGGCGGAGGCGGGATGTGAGGCGGGACTGGTCACGGGAGAGCAAAAGAGAAAAGAGAGTGAGGGGAAAAAGAGATGTGCGGCGGTGGGTAGGTTAGGGTTGGATAAATTTGGGAACGAAAGTAGTAATATATAGGTATATATTTTTAATTATTAATTAATTAAAAACGGGTCTGGGTCGGATACGGGTCGGAATGGTATATTCCGTATCCGACCCGTAAATTATTAAGAGGTAACGGGTCCGGGTCCGGGTCCGGGTCCCGGAACAATATACCTACCCGTACCCAGCAAATTCGTCCGGGTCCGGGCCGGGTCCGGGTCTAGACCCGGACCGTTGACAGCCCTACTTACGTATTAGAGGAGCCCTATTCTAACCAAATAACGCACTACCAGGGTTATTTTAGATTAGCCCGCGTATTCTCCTGACACAAATCTAAGCATGCCAGTTGTCACTATTTTGAGGTAATTAAACAATTACGGATTTAACACCTCAATTGACAATAGATTATTAAATTAACTAATTATCCGGATTCAAGACAATCAATTAATTAAATAATCATAAGTACTGAAATCAAAGAATATGCGAATACCAATAAATAAAAGAAAAAGATAAAATTAAATCGATCTCACAATTTTTAGACGAATCAAAGCCTCCGTTGTTCCTTGACTAGACAAAGGGATTTAGTTCATCCCGAATGAAAAGAACCCACAAGAAATTGTAAAGAGAGCCGCGGCCATTGTCTCTTGAAATTGGGGAAATTCAATTCGGTTCCAATGTTTGAAAAGATAGCAAAGCTACAGCAATTGATTCTATGGTTTCTACTTGTCCAATCATACGAGAAGGAAAAGGAAAAGCTACTTGAGCCCACAAGGAAAAGTCAAAAGACTAAGCCAAAAAGTTGTCTGCCATTGTTTGCTCTACTCCTCTCTAACGTCCTCAAGGCTGTGCGGCGGCTCTCCTTCCGGAGAGGAAGAAGCCTCCCCCGAGGTTTGCTTTCTTTTCCCTTTTTCTAGTTGCTGTTTTCGGTCAAAATTACTAAAAAGGTCCTGCATCTCCTTGTTCCAAGAATGCCCTTGATTGCCTGCTATTTGAACTCTTTTCTGATAACTGTCAAATTGGCACTTATTATGGTATTTTCGTTCTACTCCCTGAAATATATGCCAAATACAAAAGTGATAAAATTAATCCAGCAATTAATCCACATCGGGTCAGGTAATAGGAAAAATTAATAATAAAATAAATGATAAATTGCAACCTATCAATGTAGCACCAGGTTAGTAGATTTCTTGAACATACAGGTTAAGTATGGTTTTTCTCTAATTAGTTTACCTTCAAAATTTTACATCTTTTATTTTTTTGTGAATCTCTGTTTAAACCTGGGATTCTTTGCAGAATATGGATTGGAAGGACTCGTATCAACAAAATGTGATCTTTATAGTTATGGAATCATGCTGATGGAAGTCTTCACAAGGACAAAGCCTAATGATGAAAGATTCAACGGCAATTCGAGCTTGAAGGACTTGGTGCAAAGTTCTATACCTAATGCTCTATCAGATTATAGATACCAACTTGTTGCAGGAGGATGAAGAACACTTTGCAGAAAAGCTGGATTGCATATCTTTTATCATGGAAATAGCTCTAAATTGCTCAAGAGAATCCTCAAGAGAGAGGAGCAATATGGAGACAGTGCTTAGAGAAATGAACAATATCAAGTCTAAACTGTTGTCAATTGATAGAATGCACTAAATCATAATCTCCGGTCAATGGTAGAGCTTCTACAGTTGTTTATGAACTGTTTAGAATTCATCATTTCATCCTTAAAATTTCTTGTAAAGCATTTTGTTACTTGAATTTATAATAATGTATCACATTAGACTTTTAATCCAATTGAAACCAACGCCTCTAATAGTTACACAAGGACTTTAATCATAATTGACAAATTTGAAGTCTTTGCTAAAATGGACTTATTGTCTAGTATTTCTAATTTTCTTGTCCAACAGTTGGGAGCTTTTGGGTCCAAACTTGCAATAGACCATGTTATTCATTCAAGTTTTGTATTTAAACATAAATAATACCAGAACAACCAGCTTGCAAAAACCTCTACTGCCTGTTCTGGTTTACATGTGCAATTATGACTAGTGACTGAAACGGTTGAAAAGTCTTACCTGATGGCTGAGACGACGCAGTTTGAGTTTAGCTTAGCAGGAGCTTATCCGCTTCGTCACTCACTCTCTCCGAATAGACGCCATTCTGATTTGGGTATCATATAATAGAATAGGCTTGTCGTCTCTTTCCCGTTGATGCGACGGTAACTCGAGATAGAATATCTTAAGATAAGAGAAGAAAGTTCTTTGCCTAGTTTCGGATCATACCGTAGAAAGCACTACTTCCGACTTTCATTTTCTAGTTGCGTGTACTTCTCTGAGTTGTCTGGGAAGCAAGGTAAGGTCTCCGCGGAGACAGTACGTAAACCCTCCGCAGATGGGTGGAGAATATAAGGGGGACCTTAATCTCCTAAAGCTACTCATTAAATTATTCAAAATAAAAACTACATTCATATTATGGTATAATAAATCCATCCCACACTTTAGTCCTGCATTTTCCCTCGCCCCTACAAGCACCCACTCCCATTGCCATCAATATGATATAGTCTTTTGAAAAATCCTTAAATTTTCTGGGTGTCTCTTTTAGTTAGACTAAATTATACTGATTTCCCTTTTATTTTATAGAAGTCATAGATCTCCCATCCTAATTTTGTGAACCTCTCCTACCAGCATTAATTGCGGTTTTAATTGTGTACTTTTGCCCTCTAGTTACCCTTCTTCTTCTTTCCATATTTATGTTGATTAAAGATTTTCTCTGAAACAGTTTTCGTAGTAAAGAGCTAAGCTACGTATGTCTTTGAGGATGAGAGGTTTCAAGAATTTAAGCTATTCAGTGATGGATTGGGTGTTCCGGAAGTGATGAAGAAAAGAAAGGGATAAAGGTTAGAAAAATAGTGGGTATTAAGAAGAAAAAGAAGGAAAGTGAGAAGAAAAAAAGTGCCAACGTAGAGGAATGTTAGTGTATTCTTTTAAAGTGTTTTTAGTTCTTACTAATAAGTTCTTTGTGGCATTTTTTAAGATATTACTATAGCTTTTGTTTTTTTTAAAAAAAAAACATGTAATTGTAAAACAGATAGTCAAAGCATATCATCAAATTTTATTATTCAACAAGAATAAATATTAAGCTCTTCTATTTGATATCCACACACCCTTATAGCCTTACCCTTTAATATTTTTTGCCTCCTAAAACCAATCTAAGACAGGGAAAGTGGATACATGTCAAAAAGTGGTGTGTTGAAATCATCTACTCTAAACAAAGAAAACAAAAATTATACAATTAAATGGGTCAAGTCTTATTCAAGATGAGCCTAACCTGGTCCAAGCCTGGCCGATATTTTAATTGGTTTCCAAATATAGGTCTAATATCGACTCAGCACCAATGCAACTATGCAAGTGGAGGAGGTAATTGACCAATTTTTTGCCAAGAAATCTTGAGGTTCTGAAGTGATAATGTTATCTCTAAGGTCAAGAAGTGCTGTTTGATCAAACTAACATTGCTGGCGCTGGCTGCCGTGCCGACTAAAGTGAAAGCGATCATGTGATCTCTAAGCGCAAGAAGTAGTAGATTTTGTCCTCGGCCATGCTTATGGTTAAATTTTAGATTTCCACACTCATCAGGGCACTCACAAACTAAGAATTGGGATAAGCTGCAAAATGATATATACAGATAGAAACGAGCATGGAAGTTCACTAATAACACATTCAAGGAAAAATAAAACCAAATCAATGGAAAAAGGTCGTAACATTGATTTATTTTCCAAGTAGGTTCCAAATAGGGCTGCAAACGAGCCGAGTCGAGTCGAGTTTTGAGCTAATCGAGCCGAGTCTCGACTAAATTTTACCAAGCTCGAGCTCGACGAGCTGGCAATTTTCGAGTCTATTTGCAAACGAGCCGAGTCGAGTCGAGTTTTGAGCTAATCGAGCCGAGTCTCGACTAAATTTTACCAAGCTCGAGCTCGACGAGCTGGCAATTTTCGAGCTCGAGCTCGACTCGAATCAAGTCGAGCCGAGCTCGAGCTCGAAAAAAATAAAAAAAAATATTTTATTTTTTTAAAAAATAAATAAAATAATATTTTTTTCTAAATAAATAATAAAATATTAAGGATATATACGTAATTTCACTATGAAAATAAAAAATAAAAATATATATATATAATATACGTAATTTATTATTAAATAAAAATAAAAATAAAAAATATATATATATATATACTCAAGCTCGCGAGCCGGCTCGCGAGCTAACGAGCTTAATATTCTGAGCTCGAGTTCGAGCTCGAGTTTGACTCGAGCTGGCTCGAGCTCGACTCGAGCTGGCTCGAGCTCGACTCGAGCTGGCTCGAGCTCGACTCGAGCTTGACTCGAGCCGCTCGCGAGCGGCTCGATTCGTTTGCAGCCCTAGTTCCAAACAAGGACGGCTCGCGAGCGGCTCGATTCGTTTGCAACCCTAGTTCCAAACAAGGACGGCTCGCGAGCGGCCCTAGTTCCAAACAAGGACTGTCAAATCATGGACGAAATGGAGCTTGCGACGCTGGTCGGGGAGGGGCCGCCGTTAACTGGTCTTGCTTTATTCCTTCATTGACTTTAATTCCAGTGTCCATTAGTATATATGTGGATGGAGAAGAAACAAACCCAAATCTAGGCTTGTCCCCATTTGAAAGTGAATGGCATGCTTTTGCTATTCGAGTTTTATGGCAGGGAATTGTTAATTTTATGCTTTTTGTCACTAGATTAGTTAAACGAAAAGGTAGCCAAGAACTCAGTTAGAATTAAAAGAAGGAAAAAGAAAAGCAAAATAAAACCACAGATGCAATATTCCCTATAACTGAAAGTCCAAATGTGATGTAGGGAATAATGCACATCTCTCTCTGACATTCAAAATAAATCAAGCCTACAACTTATACAGCAATATCTATTTGCATTGGCCAAAAGCATTGTTTCTGATACGATCAAGACCTGACGGTATGCTGCAAAAAAAAAAAAAAAATAGCAGGTTATAAGCTCAATTGAATGAGGAAACATGACTTTCAACATTGAGAAGTAAAATTTGCACAAAAAGGATAAATACTTACTGTCATCAGAAATTGAAATTGATGCTTGATCTTTATTAGTTCTGTTAAAACATCTTTCATACTGATCCTTTCTCTTGGACATTCTCTACAGCAGTTCAAAGCCAATTTCATAATCAATGTAACACACTTCAGCTTGTCAGTGAAATGCTCATCCTCTGGAAATGTTTCATTTACAACAATTGACAAATCAAGTTATCGTAAAATAAATAGACCGACAATACGCAGACTCGAGAAGATTAAAAATGTCTTATCAATTATTTTTTAAGTGTGCTTTTCAAATACTAGTTATGCATTGTAATATTTATCATCAAATTTTGATGGTATTATAATTGAGATGGGTTGCATCGATCAGTACCAACCTTTTAAATAATTAAGACTCTTCTTGTTAGAATGAGTTTTAATTAGCTAGAACTCAAGGACAGGTTGTGTGGCCATTTTTAAACCATAATGAGAATCCAGTAAGAAGTTAAACTACAGGGGAGTATTTGTAATTTACCCTATTTATAGAGTGTGGCATGCAAAATTAATAACAGTTTTTAGCTATTCTAAATTCATTTCCATGACAGGACCCCAGATTTCTGTGTGTGTGATACAACTGGTTTTTAATAGTGACTTCTTTCTAGTCTCTACGCGTCCTTGGAGAAAAATTTTGAAGTCTTGTTCCTTCTTCAATGCATGCAGAGAAAATAGCAGTCAAAAAATTACGCAATTGAAACTTCCCCAGAAAATAATAATGCTGTAGTTGAATTTCCACCTTGCAAGGACTTGCTACCACACTCAAGAGCAGTGTTATCACTCATCTGCTGAAGATTTCCATAAATTGGAACTGCTGAGAATAGGAACTCAATTTGAAAGAAAACTACTATAAGAAAATCTGACATTGGACTTAATTCGGACACAAAAATACAAGTCGAAACTTCAATCACTTCTTTCTATACAAACTTGTGTATATAGTCATGAAGACGACGTAGTACTGCTATTTCCCCATTGGAGTTGGACTTTCCTTGCTAAGTTCTGTTTTAGCTAGTATAGCCATGACCACCACAAACGTTACCACTGATCAATTAGCACTTCTTGATTTGAGATAAAATCAGTTTAGATCCGCATCAAATTCTAGCAAAAAACTGGTCCCTTGCAACCTCAGTTTGTGACTGGAGAGGGGTCACTTGCGGCTTTCATCACTACAGAGTGATTGCCTTGAATATCTCCAAATTGGGTCTTACTGGCACAATTCCTCCCTAACTGGGGAATCTGTCCTTTCTAGTGTCGCTGGATATGAGCTGGAACAACTTCCAAGGAGAACTTCCCCATGAATTGATCCATTTGCGCAGGCTACGGGTCCTTAATTTTGGCATTGTTTAAGAGGTTTTAGTCTAATGACTAAAGTTAGGATCTATCAATTAAAGATTTTTGGAATGTTTAAAAATGAGATGTATGACACTTTCACTTGGATAAAAAGGCAGTATTGAAGTAAAAATAACAAGTTTTAAGGGACTAAAATTAAGAAATACAAAGAATTTCACCTTGCTTAGTGACTATAAAGACGTTTTCAGAATTTAACCTTGCTTATGGAACTACAATTAGGAAATACCCCAAGTTGATATTTAGATGAATTTCTTACATTTAGATGGAAGAGCATTTAATCAAACTCCATTAGGTTTCAAATTCATCCACTGCATTGACATTTGTAAACTTCACAAGTCTGCAGGTTCAATTCCGCCAAAGCTTGGACACCTAATGCATCTGGAATTACTCAGTTTGAGCAACAATAGCCTAACTGGTTCTATACCGAATCAAATATTCAACATCTCTTCACTACAAGTGCTGGACCTTATGAACAATAGTTTTTCGGGGAATATTCCATCAACTGTTGGTTATGGATTGATCAACCTTGAGGAGCTTTATGTCAATGTGAATAAGTTTGATGGAGTGATACCAGACTCGATCTCCAATGCATCTCAACTGAGTATTTTACAATTGTCCATAAACAAATTTAGTGGTCCAATTCCCAATTCTCTCGAGGATCTAAGGCTTCTAACTAGTCTAGATCTCGCTGGAAATCATCTGACAACCGAACTTTCGTCAACAGAATTGAGCTTCATCAGTCATTTGATGAATTGCAATTATCTAAAAGATTTATCAATCGGTGACAATCCAATGCATGGTTTTCTGCCAACTTCTGTGGGGAATCTTTCAACTTCTTTGGAAAGACTATATGCATATAGTTGTGAAATCAAAGGGAAAATTCCAGAAGAAATTGGGAACTTGAGCAATCTGTGGATTTTGAGTCTACATGGAAATCAGTTGAGTGGGTCCATTCCTCTGGCAATCAAAGGTTTGCAAAATCTCCAAGTTCTATATTTTGAAGATAACCAATTGGGTGGTTCTGTTCTAGAGAGTCTTTGTGGCTTAAAGCCTTAAACAGCTTATACATATTTTTATATATCTAGACCAAAATCAGCTTCAGGGGTCAATACCCTCATGCTTAAGCAATATTACTTCTTTGGGGGAAGTCAACTTCGGTTGGAACTTATTAAACTCGAGCATACCTGCTAGTTTGTGTAACCTCAATAATCTCTTGGCCTTGAATCTGTCATCCTAATGCTTTGACTGGCTCCCTGCCTCAAGAAATTCAAAACTTGCAGGCATTAGCGATTTGGATTTATCAAGAAATCACCTTAAATGGGAAAGTTCCAAGTTCACTTGGGGGTTTGGAAAGATTAGCTAGCCTTTCTTTAGCACACAATAAACTTGAAGGAACTATACCAGACTCACTCCGTCATATGTGAAGCTTGGAAATTCTGGACCTATCCAATAATAATCTATCAGGTCCAATTCCAAAGTCCTTGAAGACACTTTTATATCTCAGATACATTAATCTATCTTTCAACTACTTGACAGGAGAAATTCCCTTTAGTGGTCCTTTCAAGAACTTCACATACGAATCATTCATGTGTAATGATGACTTGTGTGGTGCTCAAAGATTTCATGTTCCTCCTTGTAGTTCTCCTCGGATTCACAGTCGAAAGAAAATACTCCAAATATTAGGCACTGTATCAAGTATTGTAGCAATTGTAATTGCTGCAACCATGGTAATTTTAATCCTGAGATGCCGAAGGAAGGATGAAACTTCAAGAAATACTGATTTATCCATGGGAATGCCTAAATGGATTTCGTATTATGACCTGTTCAAGCAACTGATGGTTATGATGAAAGCAATTTACTTGGTGTAGTGGGGCAATTTGCAGACGCCACGTGTCAGCTCGAATGTGGTGATATGACAGCTTGGGCAAATCAGTTCGGGCATAAGGGGCACCAGTTCGGCTGTTTCCACTGCCTCTCAACCGTGTGGGCTTAATGGGCCGCGCCCCAAGAGCCTTTCGGAGTTAGCAGGCGAAACCCTAAAAAGACTCCCTCTTGACTAGGACTCGTAGTCCTATAAGGAAATTATCACCCTCAAACCTATAAATACAACACCACAAGATAACACAAGGTATGTCATCTACAGTATTCTACACTGTAACTCTTCTCCTATAGCTCTCACTGACTTGACCGTCGGAGTTACACCGGGGAACCAGCCCCGTCATTCACCTCTCTTGTAGGTCACTTCGGACCACCTGGTTAGTAGCAGTTCGGTTCTCCCTAGTTCGAACACATCGCTGGTACTCAGTTCGGATTGTGCTCTCCGCAGCTCATTCTTTTGCAACTCGCTCAGGTTGCAGCAGCTCAACTCGGATCGCGTTTTTAGCAGTTGCATCAATTGGCGCCGTCTGTGAGAACGTAATTCTTCCCTTTGTGAATTATGCCGAGAACTAGATCTCAGAGGAACGTCGACGGATCCAAGGGAAACGAGCGAAACGACCCCCAAAATCCTTGTCAAGATCCAGCTCCTGGTGACCAGGGTGCAGAGCTCTTGCGCATCCTGCCTGAACAACTAGTGCGAACCGTGACGGAAAACCTGCCCACCTTCAAAGCAATTATGAACTACCTAAAGGGGCAAACCAGAGACCATCAGGACCAGGAGCCCAAGGCACGGAAGACAGATGGAATCGAGCCCTCAGAGTCTCGGACGGGGAGCTTCAATCCCCAACAAAAGCGGGCAAGAAAGGAGCTCACCCGTGAACAAATCGAAGTTCGGGAGCCCTCTCACAGGAACTCCGAACTGAACACCTTAAGCCCTTTCGGGGCTCCCGCGGAGGGAGCTCTCTCCAAAGAGAGACGAGTACGGGTATAGGATGAACTGGATCTTTTGCTAGATCCGGAAGCGGACAAATATACCTCCTCCCCCTTTGTGCCAGACATCGAGGACTACCCGCTGCCCGTGAAATTCAAGATACCGGGTATAAAATCCTATGATGCAACCACAGACCGGAGGACCATCTGTTTGCATTCATGACACAAATGCGCTTACAAACGGCCACAAATGTGGTCAGGTGCAAGACCTTTCCAATGTTCTTAGAGAGAAAGACGCGTCAATGGTTCCAGGGATTGCCCTCCAGGTCAATTCGGTCATTCAGCCAGCTCGCGCGACTGTTTTCAGCACAGTTCATTTCATTGCGAGCCTTTTCTAAGAGCACTGCTTACCTGATGACGATCTATCAAAACCCCGAGGAGTCACTGCTCGAATACATTGTGCGATTCAACAATGAGTCCCTCCAGGTCCGGGATCGGGACGATAAGGTCGTCATGGCCGCCTTCATCAACGGACTGCGCAAGTAGAAGCTATACACCGAGTTCGTGGAGAAGCCTCCCAAGTCAGTTCGGGAGATATTGGAGCGAGCTCACGAGAAGGCTAATGCAATGGAAGCTAATCGCCTGAAAACTGAACAGGAGAAACTACAAGGCCAGAGATGGTAGAACTTCTCTATTCGGTCTCAAAACAGAGAGGGTAGAACTTCTTTTGTTCGGTCTCCAAGCAAAGATAGTAGAATTCCTCTGTTCGGCCTCTAATTGAGCCAACCTCCTCTGTTCGGCATCTAGTTGATAATGACCTGCCGACCGTTCATTTCGGTCAACCTCCTCTGTTCGCCTCCAGGTCACCAGCTCAAAGACCAGATTCATGTGACCATGTGATGACTCTAAACTCAAAGGGGGCTATTTGTAGAGGAACCAATTTTCCAACGCCACGTGTCAGTTTGAACAGGCGCTATGTCAATTCGTGCAAATCAGCTCGGCCTTTACAAGGGTCAGTTCAGACAAAGCCACCTCCTCCCAGCTGGATGGGCTTAGTGGGCTGAAACTCCGAGCCTTTTGGGGCCAGCAGACATAATCCAAGGAGGAGTCTATCTCTAGTAGGGTTCATAATCCTATAAGGATACTACTACCAAAGCCCTATAAATATAGTTCAACTAGACAATACAAGCCCGACAGTTCGTTCCTTTTGCGGGTCAGTTCGCTCAACTCGCTAGCACCAGTTCGCTCATCCTCAGTTCGTGCAGTCAGGGACTGCTTAGTTCGGATCGTGCTCTCGGCAGTCGCATCACCGGACATATCAGGGAAAATGGTCAAGTGAGCTGTGGAACTGTCTGAGTATGACCTGGGTTACCAACCGCGGATAGCTATCAAAGCCCAGGCGCTGGCTGATTTTATAGCGAAAGGTGTTTTCCTTAGACAACAGGCCGGAGAAGCTCCCGCGAGAGCTGAGACCGAACAGGTCGGAGAGGCCGGTGGACAACCGGTTGAAGCCAAGCAGGCCCAAGAAGCTCCTTTGCGAGTTGAGGCTGAACAGGCCGTAGACACTCCCATGCTAGCTGAGGTCAAATAGGTCGGAGAGACTCCTGCGCGAGTTGAGGCCAAACAGGCTGATTAGGCCGGAGAAGCTGGCACCAAGCCAGCCGAGCCGAAGAGGCTCCTGCGTGAGCTGAGCCAAACAGACCGAGAGACTCCTGCGCAAGTTGAGGCCAAATAGGCTGATCAGGCCGGAGAAGCTAGCACAAGCCAGCCGAGGCCAAACAGGTCGGAGAGGCTCCTGCGTGAGTTGAGGCCAAACAGACGGAGAGATTTCTGCGCGAGCTGAGGCCAAACAGACGGAGAGGCCGGTGCGAAGCCGGTCGAGGTTGACTAGGCCGGAGACGCTAGTACCAAGCCAGCCGAGACCAAACAGGCCAGAGAGACTCCTGTGCGAGCTGAGGTCAAACAGGCCGGAGAGGCTGGCGTCGAGCTAGTTGAGGCCAATAGGCCAGAGAGGCTTCTACGCAAGCTGAGGCCCGACAGATCGGAGAGGCTGGCGTCGAGCTGGTTGAGGCCAAACAGGCCAGAGAGGCTTCTACGCAAGCTGAGGCTTGATAGGTCGGAGAGACTTGCGTTGAGCTAGCCGAGACCGAACAGGCCGGAGAAACCGGCACGAAGCCGGCCGAGGCCAAACAGGCCAGAGAGGATCCTGTGTGAGTTGAGGTCAAACATGTCGAGGAGAGGCTCCTACGCGAGCCGAGGCCGACAGGTCGGAGAGGCTGGCGTTGAGTTGGCCAAGGCCGAACAGGCCGGAGAAACTGGCACGAAACCGGCCGAGACCGAATTGGTCAGAGAGGCTCCTGTGCAAGCTGAGATCAAACGGGCCGGAAAGACTGGCGCCGAACTAACCGAGGCCAATCGAGGCCGATCAGGCCGGAGAAGCCGGCACGAAGTTGGCTGAGGTCAAAATGGCCAGAGAGGCTCCTGTGCGAGTTGAGGTCAAACATGCCGAAGAGGCCGGCGTTAAACCAGCCGAGGTCAAACAGGTCGGAGAGGCTGCTGTAAGAGCTAAGGCCGAAGAGACTAAGGAGGTTGCCGAGCAGGCCATCCCGGCCTGGACATCGTATGTCGTCTGAGCATCAAGCAAAGAAGGGTGTGGAGCCAAACTCCTCTTAATTAGATCTACGGGGGAAGAACTGGCTTACGCCTTTAGGTTCAACTTCAGAGCCTCCAATAACGAGTCCGAGTATGAGACTCTTTCATTGAAACTCATTCACTCTGCCCATACATGACCTGAGTTGTTTTGCATAACTCTGAACAAGTTAGAATCCAGTTCGCTCAAATGTATTCAGTTGAGGTTGAATTATTTTTCACAAGTTAGAAGTCCGCTCGTGCATGTCACGTCACACATGGGTCTGGATCCTTTCGCGCAAATGTATGAACTATTTTGCATAAGTTGGAAGTCAGTTCGTACGCCAGCTCGGGGTTTGTTCGCGCAAGTGTATTTAGACAGTATGATAAGAAAGACATAAATGGAAAATCTTGCTAAATATAGAAGAAACAAAAATCTATTCATTTCACAAACCCATTTACAAGGAAGGAGTTCATACAAAAATTGAACTGATCCTATTCAGTTCGGTCTTACGAGTATAACTCGAGCAAAGACAGCAATCGTGGGTCTCACACCGAACAGATTTGTCGTCTCGAAACTTGGTCCAGACTCATGCGACTTCTCGATGACTCTAGATTCAAAGGGGGACTAGTGTAGTGGGGCCAATCTGCAGACGCCACGGGTCAACTCGGATGTGGTGATATGACAACTCGGGCAAATCAGTTCGAGCATAAGGGGCGCCAGTTCGGCCGTTTCCACCGCCTCTAAACCGTGTGGGCTTAATGGGCCACGCCCCCTGAGCCTTTCGGAGTTAGCAGGCGAAACCCTAGAAAGACTCCCCCTTGATTAGGACTCGTAGTCCTATAAGGAAACTATCACCCTCAAGCCTATAAATACAACACCACAAGATAACACAAGGTATGTCATCTACAGTATTCTATACTGTAACTCTTCTCCTATAGCTCTCACTAACTTGACCGTTGGAGTTACACCGGGGAACCAGCCCCGTCATTCACCTCTCTTGTAGGTCACTTCGGACCACCTGGTTAGTACCAGTTCGGTTCTCCCCAGTTCGAGCACATCGTTGGTACTCAATTCGGATTGTGCTCTCCGCAACTCATTCTTTTGCAGCTCGCTCAGGTCGAGCAACTCAGCTCGGATCGCATTTTTGGCAGTCGCATCACTTGGCAAAGGAAGTTTTGGATCTGTATATAAAGGTACTCTAACAGATGGGACACCGTTGCTGTGAAAGTTCTCTTTGCTAGTAGAAATTACTTCTAAGAGTTTCGATACGGAATGTGAAGTACTACGCAACCTTCGCCATAGAAACCTAACTAAAGTGATTGGTAGTTGCTCTAACCTGGACTTCAAAGCCTTGGTGGTTGATTATATGTCAAATGGGAGCCTTGAGAAATGGTTGTACTCCAATGACCATTGCTTGGATCCAGTCCA